GATATTGTTTCCCTCAATTGTTCCATTTGTTCATTTGATTGTTGAAGTGCATCAGCCAGGCGTGGTTTCTTACGAAGGGGTCTCTTTGAAGCTTTTCTTTGCTTTGTTGTGGTTTGGTTTTCCACTGATGGGTCAGGCTCTTCACAGCTTGCTCCATCTGTGGCTACAGTGGATTGGTGCTCCTCCTCAACTTGACTCTCAAACACATGACCTTGTGGAGGGTCATTCACTAGGTGAGAACCTAAAACCAAGGGGTTAAGAGTACACCTTTGAAATGTCGCAGGACTGTAAGTTTCACAGAGATGGAGAAAAGTGGTAGAAGGATAGGAAATAAGGGGAATTTCAAAATTCTTCAGTGGCAATTCCCTTACTATTTTACCACTGAAAATCAGCATAGCCCATATTTTATGGTGTATAAACTTGTAATAAAAAAGGGTAACATTTATCAACTTCCTTGAATTTTTTTTATACATTTTATGGATGCCACAAACTGATTAAAGCTACATTGAACAGGGAACAGTACTGTACACTAGTTATAGTTCTGGCCGAAAAAAAATTCTCTCATCAAATGTGTGGGTGGACTATAAAATACCTTGCAAAGAATTGTGTTTAGTGCTTATTGAACTACACTTAACACTTACGTACCGGTAAAACTGCAACAACATGGTCTTTGTTTTCGTCGTTCAATAATATTCTCAACAAGAATTTGATCCAAGCGGTCCCAATGCTGGAAGGCAACCTTTTCAAGTGAGGTAAGGGCACTTGTTAAGTAAGGTCTTTCTGTACCAGATGATTGCATCCTATCTTTTAATTTTCCAGAACCGCTTCTCAACTTCTTAATTTTATTTTCGATCTTGTGTCGTTCTCTCGATACCACTCTCCTCCTTCATGATCTTTTGAATTTCTTCGTTTTGAATTTCTTCGTTGACATTTTTATTGCTCGCCATTCCTTCGATATAGTCTTGAACGCTTTTCTCGCTGTATGCATCAAGCAAAGCAATGATTTCTTTTCTTGTCCACTTCGCGCCTGCCGCCATCTTGGTGACTGCATCGTAGGGAAGTATGGAAAAAAAACGTGGGAACCACCAACAGCGTGTTGAGACAAGTTTCCGTGCCCGGGAACGGTGCCCGAGTTCTACCCTTGGAGGTAGTGCCCGTGCCGGGGCACGGTACCCAGATTTTTGCGCGGGCACCAACAAAAAGCTATGTTCAGACCAGTGCCCTTTCCCGAGAACCGGGCACAGGCACCTAGTCTGAACGGGGCCATAGTTTGATAACACACGTCACGGTATCGCTTTTGAGCTTTTTGCCATGAACGGTGACGCCGGCTAGGCGGTTTACCCAAATCTTGAGNTCACTTCCTAAGCCGTTTACAACCACATAGGGTCTAAATTCTTTTAGCTATTCATCTGTTAAGTACTGGAACTCCCTCCCTGACCACTTTAGAAAGACTGTAGATTATAGTGAATTTAAACGCAAACTATTAGTGCACGGTTTCTGTTAATATTACATTAACATTACATTATATTATTGTATTAATGATTATTATATTATTATATTATGAATTTTTTTAATCTTTTTGGCCTTGTTCTTGCTGTAACTATCAAAATTAGTAATTAGGATCGGAGATACTAGCTTGTAAGCTACTCTGAAATCCGAGGATAAATAAAGCTTATGTATGTATGTATGTATGTATGTATGTATGTATGTATGTATGTATGTACAACAACAACTAGGTGACCTCCAGGCTATCAAGATAGCCTTTGAAATGGATAACAAGAACTAAAACAACGTTATCACTATAACACCACTGTTCAGTGGTCAACACATTCGCTCTACAAATCAGGCAGTGTTGGTGTCTCCCTGTCAATGTATGGTGAAGAGCATCTTGGACTACTCAGAGGTGGAGTATGCCTGTCGCTGTAATATGGTGGGGAGTGCACTGCATGCTGAGGCATAGGATGCAGTGGATACTGTGTTGCTTGGGGTGGGAATGAATGGAAAAGTGGTAACTGTTGATTACCAGTACCCCGATGCACCTGTGTTAACATCTGTGTCATTCCCATCATTGCCTGGGAAAGGTTTCCATACATTTCACGAAAGAATTCTCTGTCCTCTCTTCTCTCAGTGCCTCGCATCTCTGGAGTGATGACATTTTGAGATATTGTTTCCCTCAATTGTTCCATTTGTTCATTTGATTGTTGAAGTGCATCAGCCAGGCGTGGTTTCTTACGAAGGGGTCTCTTTGAAGCTTTTCTTAGCTTTGTTGTGGTTTGGTTTTCCACTGATGGGTCAGGCTCTTCACAGCTTGCTCCATCTGTGGCTACAGTGGATTGGTGCTCCTCCTCAACTTGACTCTCAAACACATGACCTTGTGGAGGGTCATTCACTAGGTGAGAACCTAAAACCAAGGGGTTAAGAGTACACCTTTGAAATGTCGCAGGACTGTAAGTTTCACAGAGATGGAGAAAAGTGGTAGAAGGATAGGAAATAAGGGGAATTTCAAAATTCTTCAGTGGCAATTCCCTTACTATTTTACCACTGAAAATCAGCATAGCCCATCTTTTATGGTGTATAAACTTGTAATAAAAAAGGGTAACATTTATCAACTTCCTTGAATTTTTTNTTTACTAGTCCACGTTTTACTAGTCCGCGTTTTACTAGTCCTCGTTTTACCAGTCCGCGCTTTACTAGTCCCCGTTTTGGTAGTCCAGTCCAGTCTAGTCCAGTCCTCGAAATACCATATGCCATCAGAGTGCGATCACCCCCTGTCCTGGTCTCAAGGGACTACACGTTATTTTTAGGCGTGACATAACAGGCTCGCGTCTTTGAGTGATTCCGGGAGAACAAGCCAAGCGAATGAAGTTCTTATTTGTAGTATACATGAAATAGTACCACTACCTTTCCAAAGATTACCGCAGATCTTAAAATATTCGTATAAAGTTAGTTGTCCATGTGTCTGATATGGACGGACACAGGAGTAAGTACATCCTTCTAAACAATCGTCATGGATGCACAAAGCGACTAAGCAATCGTTATGGAAACTTCTGTCTTACACTCGATGACATTCTCGACACGTTGCCATTACCGACTGAAGCAATTCGAGGTGAGTTATTAGCGAAAGCTGACTACGAGCCTTGTAATCAACATCTTTCAAGAGTTGGAAGAATGGCGCTCGTTGGAATCGATAGAAAGGAACTACATCTTGAATGTGGCAAGGAAGATCTATTTAAACTTTCAGAAGAAGATGCTTCCTTGCTTCTAGCAATTTCTGATCTGAAGTTGAGATGTGAAACGTTTGCAAAGCAAATTCAAAATGTTTCGGGTCGTCTTTCGCTGGGAAGAGCAGTCTCTGTGTTACTATCATCAGGAAGATCGGTACCCGGTGTTCTACGTTACATGGGTGAATTGCCACGTAAGATTGGAACTTGGTTTGGAGTTGAATTGATGGTAAGATATTTTGATGTTGAGGTAATGTAATTTAAATTTGCTACTTGCTATTGAAGTATCGTTCATATGGTTGAGATGCAGTCAATTGAGTCGAAACTGCCTTATTGAGTTCAGTGTTCTGTGTTTTATTGTCGACGCATAAATATACTGATGCGTCCTTTGAAAACTTCGAAAGGCATAGAACTACTTCTACGCCGCATTTTTAAATTTGCATCTTCAATGGTCTGAAATTCGCTGGTGCGGTAAATTTCCATGTATCGAGTTCAATTTTACGATTGCAATCGACTTTGTTGACTAGCATAAGAAATATTTTAGAAACTCGTCGCTTTGGACTTTCTATGAGGCGAACCTTTATAGAATACAAGCTAACACACCTTTGAATTCCTGCGCTGTTTTTCTGAACTGGCCGAACGAAGGCTCAACATTCAAATGCCATTCTTCTGTATATGCCGCCAAACTCCACACTAGGTGTTTCTGGTGCAACATAACAGGAGAGTAGCTACGATGATCAGTTTGTTTGGCCGAGTGACAGGGAGACACATGGCGAATTGAAGCTGGCTTTCTAGATCGTCGCATGTAAACACAGACTAAACCAAAGAACAGGCACGATGCCTGTTTACACTTGCGTTTTTGAACAAAAATGCCATTGCAACATTCGAGCCCGGAACAAAACGAACTCACTGCAGGGACATTTAAGCAATTAGAAACCTTTATAAGTGATTCTTTGTTGAAAGAGCCAGCGGGAGGTAAGTCAAGCAATTCAGAAACATTAATTCACAATTATGTTGGGATGTTAACCAACACTTACTTCGAAACCTTGCAGGTTGGATTGATCTTATGCTCTAACGCCGTCTCTGCTTTATTTAAGCCTTTGTTTCGTGAC